CGAAACAATTAATAATTTCAACGTTAAATAATCGAAACAGACCAAAAACTAATGATCAACAAATATTTACTTTTCCGATACAACATTCGCTGTCGTCGGCGCTATTAAAATGGACAACAGAGTGGCGTGTTCGACTCACACAGCGAAAACAATTGAAAACATAATCCTATCTCTTTTCATTTTAAAGATATAACCATCGGAACAACTTATCCCAGGGACTTTTAGCCCCGGTACGTTATAAATTCGACCATGAAACACATACCACGTTTCAAAATAACCAGACTACAAGAAATATAATAAACCATCTACCGAACCAAATTATTCCTCATTAAAAATACACCCAACTTCCCATTTCCCTTTGAAATAACCTGCATCGACGATCACGAAACTTTCACCGAATCGCTTCAGTGTCTCATAAAGAGAGAGAGAGAGAAAAAAAAAAGCCGCGGTATTCCGAGCATCGAGCGTAGTTTACCGGTCAGTGGACGTCGTCCTCTCCCCAGGTCTCTAGGACGTAATTTATGCTAAACGTTTCACGTCGTGGAAGCCGCGCATCGGCGTACACCCGAGTCAGCCATTCATCCGACGCCCTTCTCCGCTTGTTCCTTCTCGTCTGGGACGCGAATCACGCAGCCTTTTCGGCCGTGGGACCACGATTCTCTGTCTCCCTCGGTCCCACCTTCTCTCCGTCGTTTCCCCACCTTCCCCCATACACACTGGTACAAACTGGTTACGTGTGTGCGCCTACACGTACACGTCATACGTGCGTGTATATGTGTATGTGCCACCTTTATGCTCCTCTCTATCCTTGGCCGTCTCTGTCGGTCGCGCGGCGCGAACCTTTCATTTGCTTCTCTCTGTCTCGCTCACGGTGGCTCGACGTTCGTACCCACGATCCTCGAGTATGTACGATACGCGCGCGGGCCGGTGCTGCTTTGTGGACCGCGGACACACAGGAAGGATAAGGAAAAGAAAGGAATTTTTTAATGATTCTTTGAACCGACCTGATCATCTTTGTGCACGCGGCCTTACAACAATGAACGCGACAATGAGGATCACGTTACTCATGGCGACGCCGGGAAATTATCGATAAGGATTCAGGTGGGGTTAATGAAAGGGGAGAGGAAATGGAATTTCAAGGGATGGTACGAGCATAGAATTTTAATATGAAGAAATATCTGCGTTCTAAAAATTTTTAACCTGTTCATTCGTCACAGATATTCAAGAGGTTGCACCAGAGATTTGTTTGCTTATTCTGCAATTTTATTATTACTGAATTTGTATTAGAAGAGATGTTGCATACAGGAAATGGAAGATGTGTAACGTAAGTGCACAGAAAACATCATGGAACCGAGTGAATTCCTCGACGATTCCGCACAGTGGCCGCACTGTCGCGGGTCGTGCTGTTTTAATAAGCCTTACAGCGCGGTGTAACGTAAAGCAATTAACCCACGATGAACGAAGAGAAACAGAAGAGAGAGAAAGAGACAAGACTCTCGATCTTGATGCAACCAGACGAAGGTTACGATTACGTGTATCAAGCTCGGCTCTTCTGTCTTTTTCAGCCTCTTAATTAACGGCAGACACGCGTACCCCAGACAACACGCGCTTGCGCAACTCACTTCGTATCGCTTTCAACTATCTTTCCTCTACCAACTTTTGGTGGTAATCTGACAGTGCTGCTGCCCCCTATTTCCTGTAATCTCTCGATCTTACCGACGCAGGATAATTAAGAATGGAATTCGGTGTGGAAAGTCGCGACTCGAAGACAGACCTAATTATTTCATCGCGCGTCTTCTCGCGTCGAATGAAAGAACGCCGCTCGTCTAACTGTTATTAATGGCATATTGTTGCTTTAGCTGCTGTACACCACGGTTACCGGTAACACCTGTAATTAGCGCATTTCCAGCGCGCCGATCCGACTTGGTCGTTTCGCATAAGAACGATTTTTCACTCGTGGGAGATAGTCTAGTGTTAAATTAGGCATTGAAAAGAATTTTTGTGCGTTGAAAATTGCCTCAATCATAGATTATGAAGTAGGTACGTACAAGATGTATATAGAACATGAATAGAATTTCTTACATACTGTAAATTGCTTTAGTCATAGACTAGGAGGATAGAAGATAAGCAAGGCAGTTCTCGTTTTTTGCCGAACGGAAGCTCATTCTCACGCATTGAGCGCAACGAAAATAAATCCGACACTCCAAATAGCGATTACACGTTACGACGCAGCCTATTCCTTTTCCCTGGCGTCGTCCGTCGGCACACAGAGAGGAAGAAGACAAGTCAGGCTACCGTGCTGATTCAAAGGTTGCTTCCACACGCAGCAAGGATGGATTCCGGCAGCCCAGCCTCCCTTCCGAGAACGCCGCTTTTTTTTTTTCACCCGTCGAGAGAGTTCCTGCCTTTTGCCGACCGATATAGCTCGCAATATCAACCGATACCACCACAAGTCTTTAAACAAACTCGACTTCTAAAGCAAATGAGAATTGAAAAAATTCTTCGTTGGAAAAAGTTAGTTCTAGGGAAAAAAAAAAGTGAGAAAGAAAACAGATAAGAGAATAATAAGTGATAAATTGAAGCACGATGAAAAGCGAGGGAAAAGAACGAAAGAGAGGGGTAAATTTTTGAAGTGAGACCGAGAGAGAGAGAGAGAAGTCTGCTGCGTAGAGGTGGCGCGAGGGGCGCCACATGGGTTAGTAAATTTAACTCTGCCGCGAGAGTGGCTCGAACGTAACGAAGACGGGGAATAGTCGGCGCGAGAGAGAAAACCAGAGAGATTACGAGGGAAGTGTAGAAGCACAAAAGGCCTAGCCATCTGCCAGTGGCCCTGCAGTGCGCCTCATAGGCAGAAGTACATATACGCGAACAGCGGCGAGAGAACTGACGTATACATACACCAGGGATGCCGGGCGAAACACATTGGCGTAGGGAAGACACACCGGTGTGCATGCTCGATGGCATGCGTTAACGAGCGGTGCACCGTGACGCGGTACACTCGTCAACGTGTGTCTCGCTTTATGTAACGAAGGTGTTTGAACTTGATGGTATTCTCGTTTGTTCGCGATACCTATTGTCGATTGTGGGATCCAACGCCAAACCCAGTTTTTATTTTTAGGAGAATTCTATTATTCGAGGGGATTGTTCTACTTTTGTAAACTGAGAAATTTCTCAGTTGACAGGTTAACCCTTTCGCTACGGTCGGTTGGTAACAATTATGTTCGTTTACGTATTATATAATCGAATTTAATGTACAAGCATGTAAATAAAGTAATTTTGTTGATATTTCAATTGATTAAAATCGATCGTAAAATTTTCATTGAATATAGCTGTTGTTTCGCGACAAACGACCATGTAGTTCGCCCGTAATATAGGGAGATTTCTTTTTTCCACTAATATTTCCTATTTGCATATTGGTTAATATATGACAACACTGTTATTTCAAAAAATTCATGGCTCGCGCCACTGCGAGGAATTACCGAAGCAACAACAAGCAAGCAATAGCAGCAACAGCAGGAGGGAGAGACAAGTGCCATCTTTCGTCTCTCTCACTCCTACGATTCTCGCACCATCTGCCATTCGTTCGGTCATCCTCGTCGCACCGTGGCGCACGGCTGTGCGTGCACGCGCGCACTGTGCCCACCAAACACTCGTTTTTAATGCGATCGACCTGCCTTTCTTCCGTCGCGGCCGCGAGAAAGTAGGAAGAAGACCGGGAGTCTGAATATTTGCCTCAATTTCCTCTGTTTCTTCTCTTTCTTCCCTCCTCACTTTTTTCTACCACGTGCTTAATTATTCGACTTACACGACCGGTTACGCGTGCGACGACAGGTGCAACATGTATACGTATAAGATTTTTACGCAATTCTATTTCACTCGCGGTCACTTTTCAAAAAAGACAAAAAAAAAGAAGAGGAAATGGAAACTGCGACTAATCTGAATGTAATTTATTTTTACATTTTCTCTTATCGATACTAACGGAAGCACCAGTGAGCACCACGTGTCGCCAAAGAAATCTTTATGACTCTCTAGAACGGCTGCAGGACGGTGCAGCCATGATAAAAAGCTAACAGTTTAGCCAACTGTATACAGCGAAGGGGTGTTGCCACCGTTAACACACAGAGGGCGAAAAAAAATTAGCCAACATGGCCGCCGTGCTTAGTTCGCGCCTCTACACAACTAATTCCTCGGGAACGAGGAAAGATACGAGGTTAAGATCGCTGATACAACGGACGATTTTTACTCCCCGGTGAGCTCGCGCATGCGTCTCCTTCCTCCTCGACGGTTAAGTCGACGAAGAGGTCTTAATTCTCCGCGCGCGCTCATTATTCGAGACAAGGATCAAAGTTGCAAGCCGCGTTCGCCAACCGGCAGAGGATCGAGGAAGCGACGCGAACAACCGACAGGGAATCGGCTAACTGTACCCCAAAGACGCTGCAGCACGCGCTGATTTCCTCCGTTAAAACGCCGCATAATTGTCTTCCTTCTTTTTCCAACCAACATGACGCTGATTGGCGGCAGGAGAGAACGACGCACGATCGTCGACGAAGATTGTTGCTTGCAAAGCGAAGACTTCGTAACGAGCGGGAAACATTTATCTCATCGACGTGAGAAAACGAACGCGAACATGAACGCGACTGACAGCATTTATAATGAACCGATTTTTTTCCGCGATTCGTTGCGCGCTGCACTTTTCAGTTCCGCTTATGTTCCCCGATGTGTCTTCAACGTCCCACGTGACGCACGCAATATGTTAATAACACGCGGTTACAAAAATGCTCGGGAAGCGGAAGCGTAGAACGACAACGACAAAGTTTTTTATGCGCATGCTCGTAAATCGTTCGGTGACAATGTTTAATGTATTCAATGGTTAAATGTGTCTTATTATTCGAGAAAAATGTCTAATAGCTCATTAACGTAAGAAACCTTACGTGACTACGCGATCGATTGAGGTTATGATTACTATTCTAATGAATATATGGTACTGCAAAGACACTTACCGGCCACGTGAACTCGAACGGGAATCTGATGGGATTAGTGAAGCTCGGCATGGCGACGTTCGGGCTCAGATTAACAATGTTCTCGCCTAGAACGGGTGTGACAACGTCGCCATACGTGCACGGCGTCGTCGTGTCAATCTTCACTTGATATTGTTTCAAGCAGACCCTGAACCTGGTCTTACAGACGCCCGAGCACTCGCCGGTCTTGGAAGTGCTGCCTGAACAGCACTTGCCCAGACTGTCTTTTCCATACTCGTTCACGAATGACTTCAGCCTCAACTCGAACACCCCAGAGGCATTTACCTGAAAACAATCGTGGTTTCCATTCAACAAAAATTCCATTGCAACCTTATTCCTATAACATACCATTCACACATAACCAATAAATATATTTCACGCACTTGGTTCATAACACAGTGCCCTACCAACACTACTAAGGATAGCAAGATTCAAAACACAGACGCGTCTCGATTGCCGCTACTAATAGGGACGCCCTATACTCTGTGTTTACTTGTTTCCACGAACTGTCAGCGACAACACCGAAGGTAGAAGAAAACCGAAACGCGCGACAAACAAACTTCGTCCAACTCTCTCTCCACGTCGGGGGTCGTCTCGTGCTCAACGAGCGAACACGCCGCCGGGGCAGCACGTGTGAGAGAACGTTTTTGCGCACGCGTATGTCCTCTGTGCTATACGTCTCCCAGGAGGAGCCGAGATATCTGCACGAGTGACCCGGCAAAAAGCGCCTTTTTTCCCTCTGCAAGACGCGACCGAGAGAACACCGCGAAACAGGCGGAGCGAAGGGAGGAGGGGGACTGAGGCGCAGATGGACATTTCGCCACGCGTGCTGCCAACGATCGTGGAATACGAGGGGCGTTTTCGTGCAGAGAAAGAAAAAAGAAAGCGCTCTAGAACACCAGTCGTAAACGTATTAACATATGCCACCGTTTCTTCGTTCCTTCGCGGCGCCACGCTAACGTCGCAGGACGAATTAATCGCGATGTGTGAAATGGGAAACACTGACTGGAGACATCTGGAGGATTTTTCTGCCTCACAGAATAGAAACTTTACATGGAACTGACTACTATTTGGTAAGTTACATTGTAACAATACGTCTGCTATTCTACAATGTCATTTTACGAAGAATTTCAAGTAACAGATGTATATATATGTAGAGGTTCAGATTCGCCTAGTCATGTAGGTTTGACGACAAAGAGCAATCCAGTAAGGGAGGGTTTTTCTTCGGCGACAGTATCCAGTGTAAACAGAGCCGATGTGTCAATATTTCTCCGGTTCTCTATCCCGTGTGCTCTTCGTCGTCGTCCGTACGGCAAGAGTTCTTGACCACTGCTGGACAATGGCCTACGGCTATGTGCACGCACACAGGCGTGCAGGTGCGCAAGTGCCACACAGAGGCCGGCGTATAGCCAGCAGACAAGCGAGGAGAGCCTTCCCACGAGACATTGTATAGCCGGGCAAAACTATACATATATCGTGTCTCACGTGAACGAGAGGAGCGCACTAACCTTACTATCGAGCCTGCGGATCGTTTTACGTCTTTACGATCCCGATTATACCCCCGTTGCAATCTTCGAATTTCGTGCTCGGAGACACACACCGACATTCTTTATTCCCCGTGCCCCCTTACCCTTCGACACGATAAAAAAGGGAATGTAAAAAAATTGTGCTTTTTTTCGCGTGCATGTCCAAACGATCGTTTTACACGTTTTTTGCGAGCAGACAGAAAATATGGTGAGACGTTATATGAGTTGCAAGATCGAACAGAGAAAAATATACATAACACTCTGGACGTACGAACATTTGCGAATCGAACAGGGGGAGAAAAAATATTCACATCGTTTCTCATTACACGTCGTAAAACACAGCAGGTTAGAGGTAACCATACACACACCGACTCGCCACGATCCTCGATGAGGAATTCTCATTTTTGGCGTGCTGGAGCGCTATTCTCGGAACCAGAATGGCCGCCGCCAACTATTTACGGATACAACCGGCGTTATTTCGTCACAAAACAATTTTCTAGAGGTACCCTTTCAATATCGGTGGGCTCCTTCTAGCGTGTTGTATACATCTTGATGCATCCCGATTCCAGGACACGGTTGGAAACAAAGAGGGGATTAATCCCATGGATTTTGAAGGGTGTCCCGAGTGTGAAGGTCGGAAAGAAGTTATCGACGGAGCGAACGAGTGAGGGAGAGAGAAAGAAGAGGCGACGTTAATACGTCGTATGGAACGAGCAAACATGGAGAGCAGACGAGGAGAGGCTAGACACTTCTAAAAGAGTGGATCCAGATTTAGAGTTGTTGTATGCCCGGCGAATACTGTTGCCACTGCTTTTCTCCTCTTTCGCCGTATGGCTCGTAGTACGGCCGACAGAGAAAGAAAGATGGATGCCGTGCAAGGGCGACTAAGAAGGCAAGAAAGAAACAAGGAGATCACGGGAGAAAGAGAGCGAGAGAGAGAGAAAAAACATCTCTCCCAGGAAGAATACGCCTGGAACCCGTGGTGACTAGCGCGTGAAAAAGAAACGAAACTATCCTGCTCGCAATCACGAAGCACACAAACGTTGTTAGGTTAACTTCACCAAAATCGTTTACGAAGCAATGAAAAAAAATAGGCAGATTATCCGTGAGTTAAAATTGGAAAGATTTCTTTAGTTCGATCGAACCAAACACATTCACAAATACACACCGTTCGATTGGTTATATATAAGCCGCGGTCGCACTTACGCAATGTACTTAATTAGACGCGGGAGAACGTATCGGTAGTGTGTGCGCGCGCATATACAGGACTGAGCGAGACGGTAAACATATAGAGCTTCTATTCGTGAACGCACCCATCGATGGCGTGTCATCGTTTTTACCATAAATACCAACAGAGCTTAGGACCGGTTTGACAGACGGGAACGTCTCTCGGATTCCGAACCAAAACATCGCGCCATTCATCGACAGCGACGAAGGTCGCCTACGATGTGTCAGTTGACAAACGTATCTTTCCCTCTCTGGCCCGTTTCACACCACACGCGTCGCGATTCGGCCCGTTGACAAAATAATTTCGTTCATTCTATGAAATATCTATTTCTCAGATTAAGAAAAATTGCACGTTTCGCTGGATTTCACGGTTCGATCGATTAATAACCGTTAAGGTCTAACGCGTTATCGATCGATCGGTAAATTGACTTTTTTTGCAAGTTTTGTAGCAAGGTGGCGCACAGCGATTACTCTTCAAGCGTTCCCATGAAGCCAACTGACGTAAAAAAGCTCTAAGTTGAAATTCCTAAGGAATACTGTCCTATTTTACCATTACCGCAACAAGACAAGGTTGCAGTTTGAACATAAACAAACAGAACACAATGCGGCCCTGACGCGTGAGATATTTCGGAAGATCGGTTGTAAAAGACGTCGAGGTCTGTTTAAAAAGACGAAAGTTTTGCAACGGGCTACAGAAGCGACCTACGGACGCCTCTAAAAATAAACAGAAATATTTCCACGAAATCTGTCCGAGCATCTTTTGGAACTTCAGAAAAAAAAAAGACAAAGAATAAGAGCCATTTAAATTTTCCGCCGATTTCACACACCGCTCGCCTAAATAAACTTCTTTTGAAGTATTTCTATGAACGTTCTGCCCCTTTCAAACTTTACACGATAGAATCGAAACGAACGACGCGAGATGAAAGATAAAAATATGAAAAATCGAACTTACCGCTCGGGGTGCTGGCAGAAGCACGACGGCGGCCGTCCACACGAGCATCGTGGTCCACATGTTTAGTGGTTGGTCTGATTCGATGTTTACACGCCGCCGGTGCGCCGTCGGCGGAGGTGTGTGGACCGTGGTGCTCTGGTGTGCTCGTCGGCGTTACCTCCTCGCCGTGATTTCGCGAAGCTGCATAGCCACCGTACCACACGAGCTATTCACTCCTCGAATGGTTGCGAAATGACGATCGAGAACTTTGACCCAGCTCGATATATATGTATTCACGTAAAAACGGACAGGTAACGATAAAAACGAAAGCAACTTGAAAAACGGGACGAAGCTAATTCGCGGATGACTCGCGACGCGATCACTCTTGCTGGTCTGTAGCACACTGTATACACTCAGATATATATTTATGTATATATAGATAAATATGTGTATCCGATGGTAGAGGTATTCATAAATATATGAAAATCACGCGCGATCACTGAACACTGTGTGACACACTTTATTCCATTATCCGTGGGACGCCAAGAGTCGCAGAACAGCCTTCGTCCGACACAGGGTGTATAGATATTGGATCCAAGACGGGATAATACTCGATAGAGCGCGTAGGATCTGTGAAAAACACTGATTTCCGATCCTTCGGGCAACGCCTCTTACTGTATATTTTTTCTCGTTGGATGATGATAGTTTGAATATCTCTCCTGGTTCTTTCTCTTGATCTATGTGTATATGCGTATATATATGGTCGTGTACTTGATGATTTTTTTTTCTCGCGTTCGTCAGTTCAGTCGATCGATGTTTAAGATAGTATTCCACAACTACGCTCCAGTTGAACGTTCGTTCGCGGCACACAAGCCACTACGTCGACGAGGAGCACGACGATCCGCCACGAGCATAATTTTCCACGAAAAGGCACGTATACAACACTCTCCTCCTCGCCAACCGTCGCAACAACGACGAGTCGCGCACTGACTAGCCGTTGACGAACCGTGAGGAATATTCTCTCGGCGATCGCCGGCTGGAGTAGCACGAGAGGAGAAGTGCCTGGCTCTGGTGATGGTGGGGGGTGAAGAAGAGTGGGAGGAAGAAATGAAGGGTGGTGGTGGTGTAGAGGTAAGAAGGTAGAGGTGGCAGCGAGGATATCCTCGGTTGTGTGACGAGTCAAAGACGAACGGGAGAGTCAATGTGCTTGCACACCGACTAAGGGGAAGAGTTTTCGTATGGGGCAAAAGGGTGGGAGAGTAAGGAAAAGAAGGAGAAGAGTAACACGCTAGAGAGAACCGGCACGAAAAGCACCACTCCGCAGCTGAGCTACTACTGGATCCAGAGATGCGCCCCTTAGGTACCGGTGTGCCCGTATTTTCCTTTGTGAAAGTACTGCTCGATCGTGTGCGTACGTATTAGCTCGATCTCACTTCAGTCTCCAGTACGATGCATTCGTCTATCCTTGTCCGTTCCCCGTAGAAGCGTACATACACCGTAGTATGCGCGTGTGTACGAAACTCCCACCGAAAAAACGTAGCGTAAATTTGTCGAACGTTTCCGCGCCACTAACCGGCAACACTAGCGCCACACTGTGGTCACTCCGGGAAGCACTGTAACCATCGACTGCTCACAAGACACTAGCGGCGCGCGATCGACAGATGGCGAGTCCGATCTCGATTCGTTTCGCATAAACGATGACCGTACGGAACAGAACTCTGCCTCCTCGATATTCGTCTGCTAAGTATCTGCGCGCGTTTTTTCTTCGCGTTTTAATATTCTGTCTTTCTTCTTCTGTTGTTACAGCGATCGGAATATATCCTCCTGTAGTAACGGTAGTAATAGGAGTAGCAATGAAACTTTGGTCTACCCTCCGTACACTTAAAAGCCGTAGTTTCAGTTGCACGCGTGCGTTCGAACGTTTGAAACGACGCGTTGTATGTCCACGCGTCTACACTACGAAGTGCAACCCTCGACTGGAGGTAGTAAGCTGGGAGCACCCCTACTTATAATTGTTGTCCCGCCGGGCCCCCGCCGGGAGGGGTTGGATGACTAGAGGGGTGGTGGCGAGCGGCTGCGCCGGTGGCACGACGCGTGGAGCACCAGAGGGGTACGGGGAACCTCTGGTGCCGCGCGACGACCGCGGGGGAAAAGGGGGGGAGAGGGGGATGGGTAAAGAGGCAGCTGCAGGCCGGCTGCACGCGCCCACCCCCACCACCGTAGCCCCTGTACGACACCCCAGCCACTCGTGCGGACTTCTTGCCTGCCTGCTCGCCTGCCTGCCTGCCTGCCTGCTTGTCTGTCGTAGACTCCTCGGGGCGCCTGTCTTCTCTCCCTCCCTCCTTCTTCTTTCTCCTTCACGTTCACGTTGTCCTCCTCCTTAAAGGAGGCTCCTTCTCTTCTGCGTTTCTGCTTCTTTCCTCCCCACCGCGTTTCTGTCCCTAAGTTGCACCGGTTACACTCCCCTGCTTGTCTCTTGTCTCTGTTCCACGAGCCAGCGATATAACCTCCGTGTATATACCCCATCCGACGGCACGCGCCGCGTGCCACCTCTATAGTGACGTCATACCCTTCTTTTTAAGCGTATTACGCTTCTTACGCGCCGCGATACGCTCCGAGCGAACGGGTTACCGGAGCCCGGGCCGGATTACTCGACTCGCGATATAAACGCATGACCATCCGACGGCCCGCCGCCGCTTGTTAATTTGATTATGCTGAGGGGTTGCGCCTTATCCTCCTACCCTACCGTTTCACGGCTACCTCAGAGGTGTTTCGCGAGATGGATAGGACACGATGCTGCGAATACTTTTCGTAGCTGATGTTGATCATTATCTCGATTAATAATTGTTTTCTTTAATCCACAGTATACGGTTAAATTCACTTTAGATAATAACCTCTTGTTTCAGCTGCTATTTCTTCGCGTTAATAAATTTCTACCAATATTATTCGACGAGTGTGAAATTGTTTCTTTTATTCTGAAGTATACGATACCCATTGATACTTTATTTACTCGCGAGCTCTTGAGCCGAACTCCCCAGTTGTCAGACGTTCCCCACACGTCACCCTTTCCCTCACCGTCCAGCGTAATACGCGTAAGTCTCCTGGGCCAGTCTGACGTCACTCGTTGCAAAACCTGATGGGGTGAACGCGTCCACGTCGCCCCCCTTATGCTTTTGGCCCCTCATAGCGCGAAACGGTGTACACACGGGGTGACAGATTATTACCGTACGCACATACTGCTCGTCGCGGGCCTTTGTGCTCGGAAACATAATGCCCTGGACCTGTCTCGGGCACGAATCGACGTCCCCCCATTGTTCCCCGGCGCGAATCGCATTTTTCGTCCCCTTCATGCTAGCCCCTCGCCCCTCTTTTATATTTAGTTTTTGCAGCCTGTCCCGCAAAGTGCCGCCAGCGATGGTGCAATCGTAAATCTAACGTTATTGCCAGCAGACTAACTGTCTTAGCCATAAAATTTCCCTGGTTTCGTTAGTTAGGCATTATACTTCGTTCATCTTCCTAACCTCAAAATTTCTTCATGTCACTTAACCATTTACTTTACGATCCTTTTGACAGTCGCATATCCTACTATGTTGCCTATACGCTGTTTCGACGTTACGAAGGGTAGTAAAAATAAAAAGATTGTGCATATAATTTATGTCTAGTCACCGTAACCGGTAATATTTACGAGTTAGAGAGTTGATCAATTGATTATAAAATTTGTTTATAATATTACATAATTTGCAAGAGGTTATTATACGATGCTAAGTGGTGAAACGAGAGTTTATACCAAGAGGACGAAATCCATGCCGCGTGATCGAGTAAACAGGCAGCGCGAGTAGTGATAAGGTGTCACGGGGCAGAAAGAAGCCTTTGTTGTTTTCGTGGCGTGCACCAACGGGGACGGTAGGTGAACATGGTGCCCGTAGGTGTGTGGTATACTTCCGGTCACGAGGTGGTTCAACAGGTCAGACCAACGGGGGAGCCAGATGGAACCACTTCCGGCCTCGGTTCCTACCACCACGCGGCTACGTCGTCCCTCCTCTCCATCCTTTTCTGCGTATACTTCGCGTACACACCGCTTCATTCTCGATGACACTTGTATGAGAGACGAGATTGTGTACAAACAGAGATTAAGATACGGTGGTAAGCTTGGAAATCCTGTCGATCTAACAAGTATATCGGACAGATCGATCTTGATCGGCGTCTCGATATCGTTTATTGTTCAAGGAAATTCCCTGGCGCATGGAAACTAACGGAGTGAACCGTACAGTGCGTAATTGTTCATATTTCTTAAATTATACCAAGGGAATTTTTCAACGCCACGTATAAATTTAATTCGCAATTGAACTGAAAGAAAATGTTTACAATTCTCCTAGATTTACAATGTATACTGAATTACATTAGGAAATATCCTCGGTGTCTAAAATTCCCAAATCGTGAAAATAAAAACAAAAGAATAACTATTATAACTACGAGCACTGATTTTCCTCAATTTACATTACAAAACTACATTAGTGTGTCAAACTCCTAATTGACGAAATGAAAAAAGAAAGAATTACAATACTCAGCTGAATGAGAATCACTGAACTCTTTAATTACACTATTATCGCTATTACCCTCAATTTTCCTCAATTTCCCAATTTCACCCTCGCAATTGTCACCTGCAAAACACACATTGAATTCCCCTCGATTCGCAGGTTACAGCGCGGTCCGGTGGTCGATAGTCTGCGGAACACGTGAATCCGTCACGCGACTCCCTTCGTTCCTTTCTTCGGTTCGCTCGCTCTTTCATTCATACGT